TGAATGGTACAGTGATGAACCCTCCATATCAACCCCTATATATTGCAACGGCTGCAGAAGTGAGCTGCATCTTCAGTCTAATTCACTTAAACGGCTCTGTTTTCAGCAACAAAGACCCGAACAACTACTAAATACCACATGGTGCGGTAACGATGCTGGTCCCAGCTTTCCCCTGCATTTACCCCAGTATTTATATCTGGCGTCGCATGCCTTCTGGAGACAGAGCAAACTTGCTGTTTCCGTATTTCTAAGCTTCATTTACGCCCAGCATCTGATTTGTTATGTTCTCTCGCTGACTATAGGGCCCATATCAACCTAAGTGTGTCAAGGTCTTACCGCCGTCGCCAGGTTGCTTGACGTATCAAGTAATGATGTCTACATTGCTTTTCACCCCTCCCGTGCATGGAACTGGTTTTTACCCAAACTTTGTGACCAGTAATATTCAAACAATAGCATATTGCCGCGGGCTACGTGTGGAGCGGTGATTCGCGGTCCTTGCGCTTTCGAGCTTCACCGAGAACGGTAACAGTCAGATATTGCTTGTAAAATTGCCATGTATTCATGTGACTCACTATCCAAAATGAACTGTTATTATTAGTACTTATGAGTGATTGATGCTTACGCGCACAGTCTGTCGCTTTTCTCCGATAGGTTGCCTGCTTTCTTATGCTGATTCACCGTTGTCTGGTTGGCCGAAGTAATAACTTAACATTCGGCCACAATGGACTTGTCACTCCCATCGTTCGCTAACCGTAATTTGCAGTTAGATCACCTTGCATCAAGGTGTAACGATTTATGCACTTATTGTCACTGAATACAGAACCACCGATTATTGTAGCGAGTAAACTAGACAGCTTTTTGTCTTTATGCTACCCTCAGTGGCGTCTACCCTGATAAATCTTACTTGGAGTGCGTTTTGTCAGTGTGCATCGGCCGATATTTTCGTGGCTGTTTGGTGGTGCCTTCTGGCTACCGTGGATCAGTTTAGTTCAGGCAGCTGTTGTTTTGGATGACGCTTGCTGCTGGCACTCACCAGCTTTCGACATACGAGGGCGTGTCCGACATGGTTTAGGATCTGGTGTCACCTTTATTCTTTCACTGGATTCAGACAATGTCATTATAATTTGTGAATTATATGAAGTTCTCGCATCCTAGGGTGATTTGAACCAAAACCATAGTGGGGAGAGGAATTTATTTGCTCCTTCCCTAGGATACAGAGTCGTGAACCCCGACTGATAGGGATCAAGGGATGAAGACGTCTTGCATATGACTTGGTCCAAACTATGAGGCATACTGCGGAAGATACCTAAAGGGAAGAAGTCAGCTGTCTTAGTTTCGGTGGCTGCCGATTTCGCATTTAATGCCCCTGTTAAGTAGGAATTAGGTTTCTGGGTCCCGTAGATACTTCGCGGGTTCAAGCCAACACTGTTCACGATGCATTGTCATGGCAAGATCATCGAGTAACGCGCAACTTAGATACGATACTCTAGAGCTCCCAAACCAAAAGCGAAACCAACCAAATCTAGAGCGCTCGGTTGCCCAACAGTAAATGTATATCCCAACTGTAAGTCAACTTTAAAAATTGCCTTTTGCATCAACGAAAAAAATGTATCGCTTGTCGGTGAAATTGCGACTTTAAAGGTCTAGTCGTGACACAGACGAGAGCTAATAGTTATATTTTAAACTCAGCCTCGTCAGTGAACTTGAATATGAGAGAATAAAATATAATAACTGCCCTTGTAGTAATCTGAAGGATGGTGGTCCTGATTGGTGTCAAATGTCACAGCACACGAATATGAGTGGGTATGTTTTCGACCTAAATGTGTAAACCAGATTGTGGAAGTCTGAAACTGGAGAGCGAACGCAAAGCGGAAGTAATGTCCAGCGCACGAGTGCAGCCCGACAATCACCTTTGGCTTCCAAATCGGGGATCCTTCCCTCCTAAGGAGCTTTCGAACTAACACCTGTACTACTGAGGTAGCCTGCACTTCATGCGGGTGGTCAAGCCAGGGCTCCAACCTGGCTGTAAGTCTGAAGTGAACGCAGAATGAACACTTTTGTGCAGCATTGCAGTGTGCCGAGTGGAGCGTGTTTAGGGTCATGAAAGAATACCTAGCTAGGAATTAATAGGGTGAACGGAACCCTATCGCCTTGTTGCTCCGGTATGTGCTATGAAAACTTGTGAACTTAAGTTTATCACCGACCTGTGATCAAGCGAATTATCTGATGCTCATGTTTTGACACTATCCCAGTCAATTGATATTGCAACAAGTTCTTCTGCTACCAGCCATCTCCAACTATTTTTCCGGAGAGTCGGGCTATTCAGCAGGAAGTCTTGTGATTCCCGTTCATCGCTGAGATAAGGTGCTACAAAGTTAGGAAGCTATTCTTTGCACATCCATATGCGGTGCGGCCTTTCACATGCCATGTTTTCACATGTGACCATTCCCATGGTAGTCACATATGAAGTTATCTCAGAGCAAACAGTGACACTTATGTTAGCTCAGGTGTCAACTTAAAACTGGAGCCTATATACTTGTGGTTCACCATGACTGATCTCAGAGAAGAGCAACATTCCTGAAATAGATCAAAACATTCTATTCCCGTTACATTACTCAGCCTGGACCATTACTTTCGGGGGCTAAGATCCAAGAGACAATCATCCTAGATTTTTCGTTTCTTCCGCCGGTCGAGATTCTCTCCTTTCATCTGCTTCTCGTCTTTTGATTCCATCAGAGGGAGAAAAATCCTTACACTCATTAACCGTAGTTCTTTGAATTTTATTAGCATCCCTAGTAACGAAGTCCCTGCTCACTAGATCATGAAATCTCCTTAGTGAGGGAGCTTCCTCCTTTTTTGCCATTCATCTCTTTCCCTTGTAGGCATAAGAGTAAACATTCTCGGATGAATGTAGTCAAAGAAATATTCGAATAGCAAGCACAGCCTTCGTAAGGCCTTGGAATTCATATGAGCCATCAGTAGCAGTGACCGATGAAAATAATAATCCTTGAAGTTTACTGGGCGTGAGAGGCGCCTAATGAACGGCCTGAAACTTCATTCGATACTGAACAGTAATTCCTTCCGTGAGTTTCTGTAAATGCCTTCAGCATCAGGCCATATCGATACAGCGATTTATTTGTCATGGAAAATAGAATATTTTGTATTCGGCACATAATGAAATAGTGCACGATGTACCTCAGTTTTCTCAGCACTGCAGAAACCAGCAAAAAATAAGAAGAAATATTGGCAGACACAGACGCTTTACCATATCTTGCTCGAAGATAGTATGAATCTGTGGCGACCCACACTTCTCCAGAATCAATAGCCTAGGGTTCGACGACGTTCAGCATTGATGCTGACCTTCGTAGTTTAACTGGACTCGCTAAGTTGGAGGCACTCGGTCGATCATCCTTGCCATTTGGCAGGCTATAGTGTTACGTTGCGCCACTCGTAATCGACCCTCTAGCTAGTTAGTTGGAACGCATCGGTATCTTGGCATGAACTCATGCCATTCTATCCGACTACGTTGTTGTTCTTTCTCGGTCTCATATTCTTGGGTACATAAAAAGTCCGAATAATTAGTGACTGGCCTCTGCACCTATCAAGTCCTCACCAGAACAATTCCTAAAGATCTCTAGCCCTAAAAATTTCCCAGTTATCCTCACAAATTTCATGAGACCTGATCTTGATGTTCCTGTGGCAGCGACTTCCATACTGTTTACTCGTGACTGAGACGTTTTGTAGTGGTTTCAGTGAAGTGCAACGAAATATGTCTTGGAGTTGGGGGGCTAAACTTATTCTGAGCATCTCCGGTAATTTGATATATTCGCACTTAACTCCCGTAGGAAACGAGGTGACTTTATAACAGCAGATAACATTTTCGCTAGGTGAACAGTCCAGAAAAGCTGCTGACCGAGAACGGACAGCCACACCAGAGCGGAGGAAGTGGAGCTCCAGAAACAGACAACTTGCTTTCACCGAGAATATGCGCACGCTGCAGGCCTTTAGCAGGGTAGGTGGAGCTGCGCCCCTTATAGTTTCGTCCGGAAAATTATTAGAAAAACCTACGAGCGTGCATTTTTCACCACTGATTTACATGGGAAGCCTTTTACCCCAACAGCCCACCACGAAGCCTACTTGCGACCACTCGATCATTTTGCAAGTCTTGACTTTCCGGTGACACTAAGTGTTGCTGCGCGTAGACAACCTCTTTATTCCCTTTTGCATCACACGGTTAATCTTTCCTTTTATCATTCACTTGATTTCTACTAACTTTTATAGTTTAAGCCATCATACAGATAAGAATCGCAAACAAACCATCGGTCATCCCAGAAGACCGACAGTCTTCTTAGACGTTCAGTTTACAAACTACAAAGAAAAACAACCCATAAACAATGATACAGGAGCAAGATTTCGGCACTATGGTAGACTGTAACTCCATTTTAGCCCGTTTACTATAAATTTCACACAGTGTAACAGTATCATTTACTTTTCGGATACAGTTTATTCTTACTCATATCAAGTAACTCCACAACTTTGAGACTGAGTTTAGATGGTCCTATGTTATTCCCTTCTTTGTGGCGACAAGGGCAGTGGAATTTTCTATATACCTGGAACAGGTGTAGATTCACTTTTACTGGATATGTTTGGTGTTGATTCGATAAACACTCGTAAACTATCATATCATAATCATATCTTGTAGATCAATCCTTGGTTTGAAGCCTGTTGTGGCCCAAGTTTTTGTTTCACCTTTAATCATCATTCAGTAATAATACAAGTACTCCAAACAACAGCTATCTCAAGTAGTCTGACTGATATCCCAAATACCTAAACGCAAGGAAGGGTAGGGAGATTCTGCGCTGATCTGGGCAGCTGGATCAAATAAAAAGAGTCACCCTCCGGGGTCCATAGACAACGCTTAAAAACTGTCAGTTTGATATACTCTTTGCAAGCCACTGGGTATTGGATACCTTGGATATGGCATGACAACCCATTCATGCGCTCAAACCGCGGTGTACGAAGCTTGTTTTACAGTTCTCGTTCGAAGCCTTTTCATGTAACTGTTCGCTGCTGTTTACCACTGGCCGCACCTGTAATTGCATGTGAGTTCTTTTTTTTTCTTTGTTAAGGATCTGGTTGGGACAAATTTTGGTGGGTAAACGGTAGAACAGCTTGTCTAGTAGTCACATGTCACCATTTTCGTCGGGCCAAATGCAGGGGCTGATATGCAACATATCTCCGACGTCTAGGCCGATGATTCTTGGCTTTGAATTTGATCCTATATTTAGTACATTTAGCTCTGAGTCTTGACAATGAGCTCAGTGTGTGGCCTGTCGTTTGTTTTCAGTTACAAGGATAGTAGGCCAGTTGGCCTGTGTTAATCCTTGCAGAAGATATCTCTTTGAAGATTTAGCTTCCACTTGAACGCGTCGACAGAACGTGCTGATACCAATTGCTGAGGTAAGGAGTCCCAGTCGTTGACAACACGATGGGAGAAACGCAGATTTACGCTAAGTTGGTTCGATCGGGGTTTTTTTAGAATTTTCTTGTGATACCCTCGGGGATAGTCAGTCCTAGCAAGGGAGAAAAGACAGGACATATCAGTACCGAACGCATTATTAGGAATACGAAATGCCAGCGTGAGATCACCCCGTCTACGGTAAGACAGTGGGAATAAGTTTAGCTGATGTAGTCGTTCCTCATAGGACAGATTCGAAAGACCTGCCACAAGCTTAGTACCTACCGTTTGAACACTCTCGAGTGCGTCAACATCCTTTTTATAGGCATGGACTGGTCGCCTGAATGCATTATTCGAAGTGAGGTCTAACGTAACTAGAGTAGAGTATTCTGAACATGTCCTGATCAAAACATTTGACAGCTCTGCGGTAAGACCATAACATACGGAAGCCCTTTGCTGCGGCTGTATTACGGCTTGCCGAGGTTTTCAAATCATGAATAATGATAACACCCAAGTCTTTTAGTTCAAAGGCTGGGAGTGGTAGTGTACCATCAACGGAATACTGGAAACAATTTCTATGACCTATGTGCATTATTACACTTTTGTTAGAGTTGGTTTCTGGGTATCAACGTTTGAACCAACCTATTAGTTCATCTAAATCCGCCTGAAGTTTATACCCATCTGCATTACTGCGTATGGCTCTCCAAATCTTTACATCATCGGCGAATAGCAGTACCGAAGAGTTGGGCATTTTTGGCAATTCGTTGATATATAACAAGAAAAGTAGTGGACCCAGGATTGTTCCTTAAGGAACTCCACCCGGTTAGTGTCCCATTTACCCTTGCTCTTTTCCTTCTATCGTATAAAAAGTCCAAGCTTGCAATGAAGCACCGAACCCGAAGGAGGAGAGCTTCCCCAGTAATTTCACATGCGACACTTTGTCGAATGCCTTACTGAAGTCTATAAACACGGCATCTATTGGCAGCTTACAACCACGGGCTGCAACCCATTCCTCTCTTGCGATAAGGAGGTTAGTTAGACAGGAGTGCTCAGTATGAAAACCGTGTTGCTGTGGTGCCAAAAGCTTGGTTGATTCCACATGTTTTAGTACGCTGTCACGAATTATTTTCTCTAAAATCTTAACAACTATGCTGGTTAGACTCACAGCGCGATAGTTAGACACTAAATGGCGACTACCGGTCTTAAAAATTGGGCTGATTATGGCATCTTTCCAGTCTCGAGGGAGGCGAGTCTGAGTTAGGGACATATTGAAAAGACCCGTGACTAGCTCAGTAATGATGTCTGCTAGCGAAGATAGAAGTCTGGGATGTAACTCATCAAGACCTGGGGATCTTCCAGGTTTAAGGTTAATGCGCAACTGCAAGACTCCTTTGTTGTGAACACAGTATCTACTAGTGGAACAGTGCTGACACCACTATTTAGCACTTCATCGTCATGATCTACAGAGTAGACTTCACTAAAGTAATCAGACAGACATTCAGCTTTGGACAGATTAGATTCCTCCAGACTATCGGACTTCTCATCCGTCGCCAAAGAGGGAATTTCGCCTTTTCTTTTAGTCCTCCTTCTGATGAATGCGAAAAGTCTTTAAGGACAATTTTGGCAATCCCTCACAAGCTGTTTCTCGTAGGACATTCGAGACCGTGTAATCTAAGTCTTGCAGAGATTACGGACTTTACAGTACTTAGCCTAGTTTCTAGAAACAAATCCCATGAACGTTTCCTCCGCCTTAACAGTCTCTTAATGTCTTTATTAAACCACGGACGGCGATATGAGGATCGTCGTGGAGTCGACCATGGAATAAATGGCGTCGTTGCCTCTTCAAATAGAGTTGAAAACCTATTCCATGCATTCTCAATTAGTGAGTCCTTGTCGACGGTCCAATCCTTACTGACTGCGCAATCCTTTACACTTGAAATGTCCGCTTGCCATACATTAGGTTTAGGGGGAGGCAATGTTATAATCAAACTCATTAGTCTGAAAACCAAAAGTTAGTACTACATGGTCGCCGTTAGCTAATGGAGGGAAGTGTTATAGATTCAGAATGTATTCACATTGATGGGTTAAAACTAAATCTAATAACGATGGCTTGTGTTCAAAATCGTAACGTGTCGTATATGTTGCGTTTTGAACTAAAGCGGATTCTAAGACCGTCAAGAGTAAGTCATTTTCGAAGGAACCACCCGATGGTGAAACTGTTAGCTCCGTCCAGTTTGTGTGGAGCATTCAGATCCCCAACTATTAGGCATCTATTACTTCTACTCCAGTTATGTAACTGTGTCCCAGGGTTGGGCCCCATGTGGACCAAATCTGGCTCCATATGCGATTCACAGCCCAATGCTGGACCAAACCTCGCCCTGTTTAGTCCGACGAAAGTGTCGGCATGCATGCAGCTTCTAAGGAAGTGGTACCATGTGTACACATCTATACTTGATACTAATTTTTCCCATAAAATTGAAGCTGATGAAGATTTAATGGTGTTTTAAAGTTATCAGCGCGACGACTTGTTTCTGTTGCGCACTTGTTTCATGCAAATCTAGCCAACACCGAACCATTCGTTGGGTATACCAGAGCTATTGCAGACGAGTGGTTGGATGTACTGCATCGGAATCCACCAAGGACCTGGAACCGCAAGACCTAGAAACAGCTACGAAAGGATAAATCTAAAGATGACCACTGCATGTTCACTTTTTTTCAAGGGTTAGAAGTTGGTGAGTAAAACATGTCATTCAAGGTTAATATCAAAACGTGTAATTAATGTTGACATTCAAAGCGGATGGTATTCTCAATGTTCTGCTCAGGAGCTAAGGGAATGTGATTTTCTAAAAAACTCGTCAAACGAACTATTTGGTGGTTTACCAGGCTGTCCCATTTAATTGATGATGCTTCGAAGTCCTCTATACCGAAGCACTTGCGCCTATTTTGCATTTGTGGCTACATTATGTTGAGACTGGGTTACTGTCTTGTCCTTCGTATTTCATTCGGCAGTGTAGCAGTCCTCACGGTTATGTCATATCACTTGTTCTTTAGGTAGTGTACACGAATTACTCTTCATATTGATGACGACACCATAGCCATTGCGAAGTGATCTATCTATTTTATGCAGAGGGAAATCCCACGGAAGTAATCTGTTTCTGGGGATGACAACTTTTGAACTTTCTGAGTCAATTCTATCTTTAAGCTAACTTCTTTTATTTAGTTAATTACAAGCACTGCTATACTAAACTTCTAGTTCATCATGACACTCACGTACTCCACCCATAACTGTTTTGTCATCTTATGACTGTTAACATTCACTACTCGAAAACCGCATAATTGAAATTCTCATCTACACACCTTAACTCATTAAATTTTTTTATGTCACGTGGGTCAGCATAGGTGTGGGCAACTGATCCTTTGAAATGTTTCGCATTATTTATGATTAAGTACTTTTCTGAGTTAGTTTAAGTTACCATGATGCGATTGCTGGCTTACAGCGTCAGTGCTCCACCTATTTCTCTACAAACTATGCTTAGTAGCACAAGCTACTACCCCTGGGACTAGTTTCTGTGCTGGATACCTAACATTTATGAGAAAGTGCTCGAATCTAGTATTCTGATCTTAATCGACTAATTCTTCTATTTTATGAAAGATAACTGATCTATCTGAAGAGTGCAGTTTAAATATATTTGCCCTTTGGAGATGACACTTCGATTTTTCAAGTAAATGAGTGATTGGATGTGCTTGTTTTCTTTTGCTTCTTTATGGTGGTCACCAATCGTCACTCTTCTCTCTAACGTCTCTTAACGACAAGATGTTACCATTTCATTAAAATACTTCTATAGATCCGAATCAAGTGCACGGTTTTATTGAGTAATAATGGCAGCAACATCTCTTACTAGATTATTCAACCGTTGTTTAAAACAGATTTTATCTTCAAACACGCTAAAGCTAGTTGATGTTACATTAATCTTTAGTAATGTGATATTAGGAGCCAAGTGTGCTAGAATTTTAACACATATCTCCCTCTGTAAAGTTGAAAAGAATAAGAATAACGTGACACTTGTATTTCATCGATTCTTCTTCAACTCTTTACAAATAGCAGGATTAGCTCAGACCGGTGTTATATCCAAACTGTTTATTGTTCCTGCAGTATTATATTTAAAGTTAAAGAGTATAAAGGTCGACTTTTCCTCCCATATACGTCAAGAAATATTGTCTTATACACATTTCTTCTGTCAACTTTCCTCGTGCTCTTTGGAATAATTTCTATACGATTGCATATTCATACATAACTGGACAGAAACTATCAAAATTAGTATACAATCCATTTTACTTTTTTATTATACGGACCTTTAAAGTCTTTCACCTCTGCTACGTTTTGTAGATATCTCTAGAAAACTGACTTTATCATTTTTCTGTTCCATAGCGAACTCAATTTTTGCATGAACGTCACCGTAAATTCCTACCAAATAAGAAGTGTAGCATGTAAATCTTTACAGACAATAAATATGTCATTGACGTACCGTTTCTTACATCTCGTGTTCTTCAGATTAAACATGAGGTTGTCTGCTAGTTCAGGACCCTGTAGACTCCCTATTCGCTACCCCATAAATATGGTAGTAGAAGCCTTAGTTGAATCGAAAGGTTTCCTGCCAATTACCTCCGATCATCTAATACATTAATATAGTCCATGTTTTCGGCAAAGTGCTATAGAAAATTGGGGGTGTATAGAGTCAAACTTCATCAAACAGGTTTTGATTTCCACCCAGTCCGTTAATTGCTTAGTGATAAGGAGTGTTAATCACGGTTTTAGTGAAGCATTCTGGTTGTAATTCTGTGTGTGTGGGGGATATTTTGATTTCAAAGTGGGATTTACCACAAACTGACGTCAGTTGAAGAGCCATTGAAAATCTGGGAGCACTGAATATCTGTTTCATCTTAGTATAGAATTCCTTAGCAGTACACACCCACAAACCCACCGGAGACCGAACTGAGGACGTACAGGTTTGCGGTGAACACGTTACTATTAAAGTTGTGATTGATAGTCAATATTTATAGTTTAAACAAGACCGATTAGGCTTAAAGTGGTTACTTATGAAATTATTAGCTTGTTTCTTGATTAGAAGTTCCTTCAGTATCTTTATGATCTGTTTCTCTAACGAATTCTGTTTGCAACTATCAGTTTTGGAGTTATAATCCTACTTAGTCACTATCTCAGCGCTTGAACCCTTGTCTTAATATCATATCGTTATTCGTGAGATATTTCAATGTCACCCGGCGCTCTTTCGATGGAATTTTGAACAGTATAATCGGTTAAAGTTACTGATTAGCGCCGTGTCCCAATTCTGACACTAACCATTCCTCTTAGTTCTCACCTATCGGTCATATATCAAACTGGGACCTTGCTTAACTGTTTTTCACTTTCCTTGGGACATGAAACTTGAATCCGAGTAAAAATGCTTCAAATTTGGCTCGAATGAGTGCCACACTTTCCAGCTCATAAATACTTCTCCTAAGGTTTCGTGAAAGGTTTCCATACGATTACCCCGTGATTAATGTCTTCGAACAATTTTTATTTGTCATTCGTTGAATTTCCTTTGTCAAGTTGATGAACTTTATGCAACACATTATTTAAACTACTGACCAATTCGTCAAGGGTAATAACCTCAATTCTCACTTTTTAGATAACTAATTTCAATTGTTAAGTGAGAGGTTTCGCAATAAGTGGAAGGCTTTTAAGAGAAAGAGCTGTTCGCCATACAACTCGAGCTGAGTGATTTCTGTAGGTATTCTGCTGCACAGCGTCATTAAGCGATTAAGTGATTTGGATGTCTAAAATGGGAAGTGTTCCATATATGACGACTGACGAAGCTACATTCTTTCAGTTATTTGTCTGCATTTGCGCACCAGCGCCTTAACAAAAAATGGTCTTTTACCAAAAAAGCCATGTTTGGACAAGTTAAAATCTCAAACTAAGGTCTGCATTATGTAACCCAGCTTTGGAGCTTTTTTCATGTTGATAGCGTTTTCTCAGCCATGAAGTCTACATTTATACTAGTCGACCTTGGTTTAATGACTTACGTTGGTATCTTTAGTTACCTAGGGTTTGGGTTAGTTATACTGTGTGGCGGAATACAGAATAATTCGTTATCATCCCACGCAGTTGGATATTAGAAATTCTCTTAGTGATATACATTATCTCAACCACGCTGTATAGATATCTTGCGACACTTTTGTTGATTGTAATATGAAAAAGTCAGAAAATGTGACCGTGAGTTATCTCCTTGGGACGGTCCTAATCGACTTCAATGTTAAGTAAATAGTGTTAGGCTTGTTTTCACTTCTGAAAATAAAAACCATTTTATCCTTCGAGTTGTCTCCGTCACATGGTTTTGCTTTTCAGAGTTGTAAATATTTTTGGTGCAGAATAGTTTGAAAAAGACCCAGTTTGAATGAAAAATGTGATGTATTAGCTTAGTGCGTCTAGAAGAATCTGGTCACACACCATTCACGTTTATATGAAATAATACCAAGGATAAATGAGTCTAAAAAGCAATCTATATGGTAAAAGGTCAATTGATTGGTCAAGTTATAAAGGTATTCTTGTAAGCCTTTGCAACATTTGAAGGATAGGGTCATATCCGATTACTCTCATCAGGTTGCATGGACATGTCACATATATAAGGTTAGGACCCATAAATCTGTAAGGGTCGAGAACCCTATTTTAAAATGGGTACAACATCAGATTATCCCACTGACAGATGCTTAGCTTCATTTTTAACGAAATATCACACACCTTTCAAAATTATTCAGAAAACCTACTGGGAATACAGGCTTGTTCAAGCTCTAGGTATAAAGAAGTTTATAACTTGTATTCAAAAGCAATTTCTTTTTTTCTACACTATAACGTCCTTGGTATTTCAGTTTTAATATCAAAGCTGACATATATTATCTTTCATATTCCATCTATGATTCGACCCCTAAGCCTAACAGTTCACTCGTTTATTACATTGATTATTTATAGACTCATTTATCCTTGGTTGCATTTTGTATAAATATGCATGACAAGTGTGTGACCAGTTTGATTGAGATGTATTGCGCTAATGTTTCATACATTTCAGATTAACTATGTCTTCTCGTCATTGTTTGAAGCTGTGGTTCAATAGTTTAAGGAGGTGACTCAACCAGCGGGTCATGCGTTCAAGACCTGCTGCACCTAACGAGGTTTGGGAAGCTAGTCAGTATCATTAACCTTCATAAAACAGATGTGGCTCATTGCCTACTGTACAAATATGCACAAGGTTGTTGAGTGAATTGCGACTTGATGCTTATTGTTTTGTTGAGGTTGTTAAGACGGATTAACTATTTTAAAAATGGTTTGAGCTATCCGAAACCATGAATCCTATGCTAACTAATGGGGATATACGTTTCTTTTGAGTGTAGAACATGTGGTACTGCAATGAATTTTCGGTTACTTCATCAGATTTTTAGGAGCTTTAAATAAGTCCGTCTATAATTCGGTGCTTTAGACATCTTTCCACTTTCAAAAGTAGGAGGATTTGAAAACATCCAGAAGTTATTAACATTAATTCTTCTATGAAGACATAACTTTTATGAGGTTATGAAACGTCATATATTTACTTTCCTACTTCATTAGGACTTTAAAAGTGTTTTTCTTTTCAAATTTCAGAATAGTTTGATACATTACTACGTAGCATTTTTCTCGTTTTCAGACTGATTACCCATTTCCTCTGTCATCGAAAGCTGAGAATTTTTTTTCTGTGAAAAAGACAGACAGTTCAAAATATAATCTGGAATCTAAGTGTGTATCCCTTCAAGTTGTTTCACTTCACAGTAGTATACAAAGAACAAATGGATAGAAAAAGATTGGTATCAAAGTAGATGAAGTTGTGTAAAAGAATAAGCGATTTGAAAATAACGGTGAGTGCAAATATTCAACCTTTGAAAGATGTCAAAGAGTGAATACATCTGCGCCACTATAACCGATTTTCAGCCATGTCACTGAGAGTTCTCAACCAATGATTCCTATAATCTTAAGTACTTCAGTCAGATAGTCTACACCTCCCTACACACCCAAGACCAACAGTCAGGGACTTCATGCACTGATGCCGCGTCTAAATATGGCCATGCTAAGTTCTCTTCAAACTTAATCCAACGTAAGTCAAAGTAGGCGGTGGCTTAGGATGTGTAGCGCACGTCCAAGCCACCTCAATTAATGAAGATTCTCAACCTCATTGCTTGACTTACCTTCCTTACGCAAAACCCTTCATATGATCCTCAATACTGTCTATACGGTGATTCTACCACATGCGAGTAGTGCTACGAAGATACGCGTAGTTAAAGACTTCAAACTGGTTCATGCTTTTTTACTTTCAACTGCCATGTCTCAACCGTACAAAAGGACAAAACGGACTGCAGCGCAGTATACTCGTCCTTTAATAGGCAATCGGATATCTAGCCAGTCGACGCTATAGGTGACACAAGTCGGCAAATGCCAAACTGGCCTTCTGTGTTCAAGCTGAGATTTCATCTGCAACCAGCCTGTTCGGATTGATGCGACCACTCAAGTGAGTAAAGTGACCGATACATTCCACCACTTCACTCACTATCCGTAAACTGAGAGTGGCTGCAGACCAGTTCTAGAACATCATCTTACATGTGACAGGTGCAAGCGAAACTCATGCTAAACATACCCAGATTTCTCCTCAGTGTGTTCAAAAGATCCTGCATTTTGTCAGTATCTTCAGCTAGCAGGATAATATCATCTGCATACTCCAAGTCAACGAGGGAGTGAATCAATCCCTGTGAAGTGAGACGTACCTAAGGTTATACTCTTTAGTATATCTATGACGAAATTAAATAGGAACGGTGACAGTGGACATCCCTGCCGGACATTGCTTGTTGTGTTCGATTCTGATGACAACTCCATAAGCTTTTGCACAGCTAGGTGAGTTCAATTAGAGAGCTTTCAATAACGTTTTGTACTTGTTCTGTACTGCGTTTAAAGTTGAACATTGTCACAACACCCCACAAATAACAGAATCGAATACTATGAGTGTAAAACTTGGGCACTGTGGTAGAATGTAATTCCATATTAGATTTGTTTATTTGATATCAAGCGCACAGTGATACAGTATTATTTACTTGATTACGTTTCGAGCATAAATTATTGCTCATAATCATATCAATGTAATCACACTTCTTTCGATATCTGATTTTATAGTCCTGTCACCTGATCTCTCTTTGTTTTTTTGTTTTTTGATTGGTAGTAAAGTTTTCCATATCTCTGGTATAGGTGTTGCGTCATTCCTATTACATGTGTTGGGTGTGGATTCGATGAACAAAGATTCAGTAATTAATCTCTCTCTCCACCTAGCTATATTAGACTTAAGTACAGTGGTTTTGTCCCACCCTATTGTGTGGTTGTGTGTTAATGAATGTAATGCAATGGCCGAGTGTTTTTCTAGGTTATTGATCTTATTGGGGTCTGTCGTTCTATGTTTAGCTAAATTCCTATGTTCTGTTAATCTAACTGACCCCGACCGGCTAGTTTGACCTATGTATTTGACCTCACAGTCATTACATGGAATTTGGTAGATTATATTATTTTGCTTAATTGGTTCTATCGGATCTTTTAGCCGACAAAGCTTACCTCTAAGTGAGTTTGTTGGTTTAAATGCCACCCTAATTCCAACCTTGTTGAGAATCCTACGTATGGTTTCTGATGTTCCTTCCTTGTATGGTATCACAATAGAGGTGTTGATTTCCTTTCTACTTATGTTGTCACTATTATTTGTATTTGTATTAGTGTTATTATTTTGCTTCTTATGTGTCTGTGTGAATTTCTTAATAAAATGATGGGGATAATTATTAATTATTAACGCTTCTTTTATGTGTTTCAATTCCTTATTTAAGTCCTTACAATGACTAGTGAGTTTCTCAGCTCTGTTATTTAGACATTTGACTAAACCCGCTTTAACTGACACTGGATGAGATGACTTGAAGTCTAGATACCTGTTAGAATGTGTTGGTTTTCTGTAGACGGTAGTATCTAAACCACCATCTATCCTTCGTTTTATTCTGCAATCCAACATAGGTAATTCTCCTTGTTCATTTTCTACTTCGTAAGTGAATTGGATTGCGTTAACTACTGAGTTTATGTGTGTCAAGAAACTGTCGATATGTTCCGATTTCAACACTGTAAATGTGTCATCTACATATCGCCACCATATCTTAGGTGTCGGATTATATGTTCGTAAAGCCATATCTTCCCAACTATCCATAAATATATCTGCTACTATAGGGGATATTGGTGATCCCATTGCTACTCCTTCTGTTTGTCTATATATCTTTCCCTGAAACTTGAAGACTGTCGAGGTTAAGCATAACTGCACTCCTAACATGATTTCACCAACCGATGCCTTGGTTCTTTGAGTAAGTTGTGAGTCAGTATCTAGTTGATTTCTGACTGCCTCCAGTGCCATATTGATTGGTATTTTAGTATAAAGACTTGTTACGTCAAAACTAACCATTTTTTCATTCTCTTCTATGTGCAGGTCATTAAGTTTTTGTTTCAACTCGTAAGAATTTACTAGTCTAGAGTTTGAACGGTCTCTAACAGGACGTAATACTGATGCTAAATACTTTGATATCTCGTCTCAACAGTAGTTATGGACAAATCGGATTATCTTAAAAAATGGATGAACATTTCCAAACAGAGCCATATGACTAATGGTGACTAAAATTAAGAAATCTACAACAGATCTGATACGCCGACTGAAGCCATCTCTAGGTAAGTCCGAATGGTTTACTTTAATGCCAAAAACTAATAATCCTAGCAGAATTTACGGTACTATTAAGGTTCATAAAGCAGGTTATCCCATTAGGCCGATAGTTGACTTCCGGAACACACCAACATATGAGATATCAAAGTATTTAGCATCAGTATTACGTCCTGTTAGAGACCGTTCCAACTCTAGACTAGTAAATTCTTACGAGTTGAAACAAAAACTTAATGACCTGCACATAGAAGAGATGAAAAAATGGTTAGTTTTGACGTAACAAGTCTTTATACTAAAATACCAATCAATATGGCACTGGAGGCAGTCAGAAATCAACTAGATACTGACTCACAACTTACTCAAAGAACCAAGGCATCGGTTGGTGAAATCATGTTAGGAGTGCAGTTATGCTTAACCTCGACAGTCTTCAAGTTTCAGGGAAAGATATATAGACAAACAGAAGGAGTAGCAATGGGATCACCAATATCCCCTATAGTAGCAGATATATTTATGGATAGTTGGGAAGATATGGCTTTACGAACATATAATCCGACACCTAAGATATGGTGGCGATATGTAGATGACACATTTACAGTGTTGAAATCGGAACATATCGACAGTTTCTTGACACACATAAACTCAGTAGTTAACGCAATCCAATTCACTTACGAAGTAGAAAATGAACAAGGAGAATTACCTATGTTGGATTGCAGAATAAAACGAAGGATAGATGGTGGTTTAGATACTACCGTCTACAGAAAACCAACACATTCTAACAGGTATCTAGACTTCAAGTCATCTCATCCAGTGTCAGTTAAAGCGGGTTTAGTCAAATGTCTAAATAACAGAGCTGAGAAACTCACTAGTCATTGTAAGGACTTAAATAAGGAATTGAAACACATAAAAGAAGCGTTAATAATTAATAATTATCCCCATCATTTTATTAAGAAATTCACACGGACACATAAGAAGCAAAATAATAACACTAATACAAATACAAATAATAGTGACAACATAAGTAGAAAGGAAATCAACACCTCTATTGTGATACCATACAAGGAAGGAACATCAGAAACCATACGTAGGATTCTCAACAAGGTTGGAATTAGGGTGGCATTTAAACCAACAAACTCACTTAGAGGTAAGCTTTGTCGGCTAAAAGATCCGATAGAACCAATTAAGCAAAATAATATAATCTACCAAATTCCATGTAATGACTGTGAAGTCAAATACATAGGTCAAACTAGCCGGTCGGGGTCAGTTAGATTAACAGAACATAGGAATTTAGCTAAACATAGAACGACAGACCCCAATAAGATCAATAACCTAGAAAAACACTCAGCCATTGCATTACATTCATTAACACACAACCACACAATAGGGTGGGACAAAACCACTGTACTTAAGTCTAATATAGCTAGGTGGAGAGAGAGATTAATTACTGAATCTTTGTTCATCGAATCCACACCCAACACATGTAATAGGAATGACGCAACACCTATACCAGAGATATGGAAAACTTTACTACCAATCAAAAAACAAAAAAACAAAGAGAGATCAGGTGACAGGACTATAAAATCAGACATAGAATTAGAGTCGAATACTGTCTTCAGGTCGAGAGATGGCAGGTGTTGGGCGGTAAGTATAGCTGTGTTCCAAATCCTGTGAGAGAGTGAAAATCTGAAAACTGTCTGGTTCTGTCGAGCTTGTTTCACCTGCGCTCCAGTTAGGCGTCGGATAACTATGCACCCTAGAATTTTGGACACCCTATTTGTCAAATGAATTCCCTTTGTTTGTTATAGTAACACTTCCTCTCTTTTTATGGACTGGGATTATCTGTGAAGTACAGCAGTTTCATGGCACTATTTCTCATTGCCAAATACTACCTAGTGTTTCCATCACTTCAACTAGCAATTTCCTGTCTCCATCCTTAAAAACTTCGAGTGACAAACCGTTAGGTTCAGTTGTTTCTCATTGTTTCAGGTTAGAAACAGCCTCGTTAACTTCGACGAGAGTAAGTGAATCGACATCTATATCCCACTGAGGTTCAGGCTGCGTGCTGGGCAACTAAGGTACTACTGTGGGAAAGTTGCATTTTGCTTCAGTGTTCCACCCAACGTTCTAGTTGCCTGTCGTGAAAGGTTATCATTGTTCTATCCTTTTCGGTGATAGTTTCGCTAAGTTTTACCCAACACTGATGCCTTCTCCATCTCTTTCTCGCTCTTGACATCTACCACTGTTGGCAATCACTGCAGAGACTTTTGGTCAATCTACGTTTAAGTTGCTTTCGCTCTTCATTGTGGTCAGAGCCACATGGAATTAGTCTTCTCGCACCACTCACTTCGAATGACATTGAGGAAATCCAATGAGGTTTACTGACATTTGGATGTAGGTTATCAACCCTCCTTACCTCTCTTTACACAGTGGACTTAATTTCACACCAGGTTTCCTCTGGATAAGTATTAATGTCACTTTCAGATTAATTGCCTATCTCCTCTCCGAATATGTACTTGGCGTCCTCATCTTCCAGTCAAACAGAGACAAGCTTTACAATCACCTGTTCCCTGTGACCATTAAGATGCAGACATTCTCGAGCCCGTACTAACGTGTGATCGGAGTCTAAACAGATATTTCAGAAAGCACAGCAATCCTTCACCGGTCCTTTCCGACAGTGGCTTATAGCAGTGGGATCTCTGTGTCTATCGTTGGTTTGAAGTCGGCGGATGCCATGTGAGACAGTATCTTTCCTTATGCCTAAGGTTAGTACTTGCCATAAATAATCTGTTTTCGAAGCAAAATTGCAACAGTTGATTGCCGTTGTCGGTTCGTTGGCATGAGATTCCGTAAATAACTCCCAGATGTTTTCTCGATTGGCTCAGCTTCCCTGCTTGAGCATTAAAGTCACTTGCAATTATGATGACATCTGAACGTTCTACTTTTCGTAGCAAAATTGAAACCTGATAGAATTCATCCTTTGCATCATCCGAGCTACGGTCGGTCGGTGGGTAAGCGGAGATTACGAATGGGCACCGCCTAGTCTCACTGTCCTTCTTAGACCTTGGAGATCTGTTCAGTCGAACGTCACATAAACGGCTACCAACTGTTATCCAGTTGATAATCGCGCTTTCTGCTCAAGAGCTCAATACTATGCCTATGCCATGAAGTCCACGAGAATTGGCCATTGGATCTCCGGATACTCTTAAGGTGAGTTTTGAAGTTTCACTACAATGGCCACGTGATTTCAATTTAACGACCACACCCGGGTCCCGTATACGTGTCTCACAGACAGCACACATCAATGGCTAGACATTCCAGAGTTCTGGGGAGCGATACTTGTTGTGCGAATAAGCATGGAGTTCTGACGTTGAAAGCTCGTACATGAAGTCGATGACGTGGTCATAGGAGGCTAAGAATGAGGTTTTTATTTCTTTGATCGTTGATAGTGGTTGCAGAGTGAGAGGTTGGTTAAAGCGTAAGAGGCCTAATATTAGTATCAGGAGGCGGAGGCAAAGGAGGAGACAAGGTTGAGAAGGATAGGTTATGTTTGATTGGGTCTTCTGTACTACTGGAGGCGTGCGAGCGATTGACACTTCCTGGCTGCCCACACCGTGGAAGGCTATTTCTTCTCAAAGTACCTGAAAAAGAGAATGATTTGTATGACCTAAGAGCCCGTCTGCTTGAGGCTTATCACACACAACGTTTTGGTGTTTGGCTGTTCTAGCCCTTGATAGACAAGAAACCCATACCGCCGGCCCCGGAAAACTGAGGCAGGGAGAAGTGTGCTGTTTTTGGGGTCAACCTTTCCTAGCCTTTTTTTTCCATTGGGAACAGGGGAACAAGCTTTCTACCAGCATAGCTTGACGGATCATTGTGATATGCGAGCCCGACCACCATTTCAAGTTAGGAGCTATCTGTCGGGTTCGGAAATCCACCTTTTTGAATAATTTTACTTATTAGTGCTTCGTCTTAATTTTACATCTTCCTTTTTCCCCACTCTCTTCCAGATTCTCATACTAGTCTAGCAGACTACCACTAACTAGCTTAAATACGCTTACTATCCATTGTTTTCTGGAAAACAAAACACCTTCAAGTTTCATGAAAATTCACCTGTAAACGAAAAGTCAGATAAATGTGGGACATATACTGAGTGATTTATTGTTCAATGAAGCTGCTTACCACTGTGATTCGTGGGAATCATTTTCTGTCACTGTTTTTAAATGGCGCTACAAGTTTTTTGTCATAATCTATATGATTATGGGGGTTCTTTTTGTCAACCTCTACTTGTCAAACTCTTCAAGTCGAGTTGTTTACACTCACCCTAATGAATTGTTTGACAAAGAATGTCTTTTAATGAAAACTGAAGGTATATCACATTAATAAATCTTATTATTTGTAGTCTGTTGTCCTAATAAGGGTGATTTGGACCTCTCTAAGTTTGATTCCATTGCTCCTAAAGACTTTTTGAACATTATAAACGCTACTCAAGGTGTTTGTGAAGGAAGTTGGAAACCAAAATGCTTTTCTTCTCAAAAGATAGCTGTCATTATACCCTACAGGGAAAGGGAAAAACATTTGAAATTACTGTTACCAAGACTTCATACCCTTTTACTACGACAAAATATGCCATATTACATCTTTGTAGTTGAGCAGGTAAGTATTTTATTCTGTTAGTTTTGTATTTTGATGTATGAATATCATAGGATACACCTTAAAATCCCAACGATATAACAGTATTCATCATCAAACTTTTCACAATGACTTTGTCTATTCATGCATGAATAAATTAACCTCATGAGAAATGTTGAATGTGGCTTTATCTTTATCCGTGAAAGACTTTTCGATAGATGACAGAGATCAGCATACAATTATTTGAACTTATTAAAGAATCAGGAGCAAAAACGTCAATAGTTGGCGGGGACGTAGGAGAGAAGGACGGGTTTAGGAATTACTCTTAAGAGAGACAACTAGAAAGATGGATACAGTTCAACTAGCTTGCAGCTTTTATTGCATTACCTCCTATCCAACACAGTCCTGAATGGAACATTGATGTAGGGCCCCAAACTATTGCCGAGGTTGAAAAGGCTGTAAATAAACTAGAGTGAGGAAGAGTAGCAGGGTCAGATGGGCTAGTACTGAAGGTAATCAAGGTTGGTGGTCATGAATTATTGGTTAGGTTTACCGAAGTATATGGGAATCAGATATTTCATCTATCTCACTTACTAGCTGTCCAAGTCTTCAAGAAAGGCAAGAAATCCGCTTATGATGGGCATGATGTTTTAGATTCTGTAATTATTAGACGCCCCAGTGGATCTTGTGAACGGTAAACCGAGAAAAACAGGCAGGTTTTAAACCTGGTCATATATATATATATATGAACCAGATCCTCATCCACTACAAGTTTTTGGAACACAGGGTCATTTACTGTCGCCCGCCACTAGATGTAATTTTCGACCTGAAAACGGATTTCGACTCCATTAGTCGAGAGGTTTTATGGCAATGTTTCCTACCGAAACGAGTGTGGAGTAAGTTCATCACCATCTTAAAGGCCCTGTATTCAAACACCAAGTGGTCCACTCTGTTCCATCACATGACCGTAAAACTTTGTCGCTGAAGGCAAAGTACAAGGGAAGGCTTTGGGTTCATACTGGAAAAAGGTTAAAGATGGCCAAGGTAAAACATAGCATAAGTGGGCGAAGTATTCGACTGTTGGTCTGAACCGTGTAGAGGAATGTCGGAATCGAATGGATATCCTACTACTACCGTTATCTTGTCATTCATAACAGACAGATCGACTGACTAACTGGTCAACTTACTGACTGACTCATCAAATATCAATGGAATAAATGACAAAAAACAACCAAGGAGTACGATAAAGGATGGTTGTAAAAAGCACGTTCACAATGATATTTGAAAGATCCATAACAAGATGAGCAGTGAACACGGATGGCATTGATTCTTTACAACTTCTTCATTCAACGTTCTCTGCCATCTAAAAGGTTAAGACCTATGGTCAGTAACTCTGTAGGATAATGTCCTTTTTGGTCTGATCAAATATTGAACACCCAAACCATACATTACTGTATACTGAGGTAGGCACTAGTTTGATGTGGACTAGACATGTTTCGACTACTTCAATGTATAGTTTTTCATAGATAACTGATGCCATGCTAGAGCAAGTTGGATTAGGTTGAAAGAGGGTTTAGGGTAGCTAGACCAAGATGTGACACCAGTCAATCAAGTCTCTGTCATGTGGAAAGATACAGACTGCCTGGTTGAGGTCCCCGAGAGGAAAGGAATCTTGCTGTAAATCGTGTACTGAATCTCATCCTTCTTCAAAATAACGGACTCACCTCGAATGACATGACTATATGGATACATACAAGTGCATCTGTCTGCATATCCTAAACTTTTACTTTTCTTTCATGTTAACTCATGTCATAATTACACAATTGGTTTGTTCAGTCGTTTTGCTAGTAGTAGTAGTAGTAGTAGTAGTATGAGCGACACTCTTGTTCTACACATGGTTGCTGTGCATTTTTATGAACTTCAGCGATGAAATCTTTGTTGCTGACGGAAATTTTCGGTGAAACAACTTAGTCGAGTAGATTGAATTATTATTGAAAGGTCAACACGAAATTTATTTAGCCATCTAAAGTGACAATGATAACTTAGTATTGAAACATGATTATAAAATTGAGATATGGAGTGGACGTCTGAATATCAAAGCATTTCATATATATATATATATATTACATAACAACCTCTACTAAAATTCACTATCCTTTTTCAGGCTGGTACAACACCCTTTAATCGTGGACTCATGCTTAATGTTGGAGTATTACATGCATTAGATATTGATCCGACTATAAATTGTTTTATCTTCCATGATGTTGATTTACTGCCTGAAAATGCTGAAAATCTTTACATCTGTGATACAGAATTAAGACATTTATCACCTGCTATCGATGATTTCCGTTATCATCCACCATTTATAAACTATGCTGGCGGTGTTGCTGCAATGTCTAAGGAGAATATATTCAAGGTAAGCGATAGTTGTTACTTTCAGTTGTAATTAGTATTCACCAAGGACTGACATTAGTTGGAGAACCATTGAAAACCTGGGAGCATTGGACAGCTGTTTCGTCCCAGTATGGGACTCCTTAGCAGTACGCACTCATTACCCGGCTAGGGATCGAACTCAGGACCTTCAAGTTATCATTCAGCTACTAGGTTGGAGTCAGCGGTTCACAGTCTCCAACTTTTATCAATTCATGATACAGTGCGACCATCATCCAAGGTATTCAGTTAGCATCTGCTTCCTTTCCAACTGGTTGACCTCACAGGTCATAGCCTTTCATTAGAGCTTCGTGATATCCATCTGAAAGCAAGTCACTAGTGAGCACTATACAGTAATGTATTTTGAGATGAGTGGGGATTTTAATTAAGGGGTAGTATTCATTAGGGACTGACATCAGTTGGAGAACCATTGAATGATTCGCAGTTTTTTCTTTGGGAGGGGGGTTTATAGAGGGGGATACTTATGCCTCATTTGATAAAGCACGCTTCAGAAAGGTGTTCAAAGATATAGTATTTTCAAGACTCCAGAAGCATTAGAGGTATGAGTACCTCAGTAGTAACGTCGTTGATTGCAAGACTAGATGACAGACAGGTTCAAATCTCAGGCGGGATATCTATTCCGTTGAGGCTGCAGATACGCTTTGTTGATGAGTGCCAACAAGCATGAAATCTAGGTCCGAGGATTCTTACCGATTGCCTTCGACTAACTAACATTTCATTTGTTTATTCCATAAAGCTACTGATCTAGGTTCACTATCAATTGCTTGACTGTCTTTAAAACTTCTGCAATAATAAATCATCTTAAAAATAACTGAAGATAATCAAGTTACATTTCTGATCTGTTTTAATGATTTTATTGTTATTTGCGGACTAAAATAAGAGACTGATAAGGCTATGGCGATCCGGTTTACTATTTATGTTTAAACAAAGCTATAATAACTTTAATAATCTCTTTAGATAACCAATCCAATCGTTGAATCTGTAACCTTTTTACAATGATTTGAGAAGATTCATATCGACTGACAAGTGTCTCCTTTTTATCTGGAAACTATACATTATTATTATTTGTCCCTTGGGTTCCTAATGGAACATAGGGCTTCAGTAGCACGTCTCCAGTGCACTCTGTTCTCTGCTAACTTTTGAACCTGGTTCCACGACAGCTCAGAAGCTCTTATTTCTTCCTCATGCGATCACCTCCATGTAACCCTTGAACGGCCAACTCGTTGCTTACCACCTGGGTTCCACTCGAGGGCCCGGCGCGTGACACATCGGCCAATTGGCTTCCTGATGGATTTCACCAACTGGCGTCATTTCACCTCTCCGATTCCAGCGAGGAATAATTTTGTTTTTATTTTTTATATTTTGTTTGTGCTTTGAAGTTTGTTTAGCGGTTGGATTGCTTTTACGGGGTAGGTTTGCTAACCCTATGCCCAACGTTCCCTCTTTACCCGGGCTTAGGACCGGCTAGTAACTGGCGAGGTTGGAAACTATGCATTAAGTCAGTTTTTTTTGACCATACGTTTGTCTTTCGAATATTTAGTAAAAGCATACTGGTATACAAGGTGGTACAGTGTATGAGTGGAGCTGAGAAGGAGCATCATATTGATTAGCAGTTTAACTATCTGAGATAGCTGTGGTTTTGCTACTGGGTGATGATTGATAGTGAAATGAAAATCTGATCAGCAACCCGAAGGTGTCTAGTTCGAACCCTGCCCTGTCCCAGATTTTCGTTTCACTATCAATTATCACCGAGTATCAATAATACAAGTGTCTCCTACACCACGGCTATCTCAGAGAGAGAGAGAGAGTTAAACTGTCGATGATTTGTCTAATACTAAGACCTAAATGACTTTAGATTGTGTCCGTAACCATTGACCTGCTCATTGACTCATGTAGTACAACTGGGACCTCCAACCTTTACAGAGGACAGGTAAACACTCCATCCATTCGGATTATGTATGTAGTTCGTCACTTGTGATGCCGACTGGCAAGATATCCGACCATCTGTCAAAGAACAGTTATACTGCGCTGCAGTCCGTTCCGTCTTGTTTTACGGCTGTGAGACATGGTCGTTGAAATTAGAAGACATGAAGTGGTTACAAGGTTTTAATCACAGATATATTTGTGGTATTGCTCGTGTTTGGTGGAATCACCCGTGTGAGCAATGCTGGGGTCAGGCGAACGTTACTAGGCAAGACAGGCAAGTCGGTTGATGAAGTTATAAACGTTAGTTGACTAAGATGGTTTGGATATGTGTACCTCGACGTGCCATGTTACAGGAAGTTAGATTAGGTTGGGAAGAGGATTCAGGATGACCAGATTAAGAAATGACATCAGTGTATTAAGTTCCTGGCTGTTGATATGAGCGGTTAAGGACTCTAAATGAGATGGCCGAAAATCCGTGACAATTTTATCATTATTATTTTTCCCCTGGGTTCCTAGTGGAACATAAGGCTTCAGTAGCACGCTTCTATTCCACTCTCTTCTCTTCAGTCTTTTGGACCTGGCACCATGACCGCCCACAAGCTTTCATTTCTTCCTCACATGATTTCCTCCATGTCGCCCTCGGACGCCCAATTCATCGTTTCCCCCTTTAAATTCCACTCGAGGGTCTGGCCTGGCGCGTGATGTCCCCAGTTGACCTTCTCATTGTATGCCCAATCCATTTCCACTTTCTTCTGCATATTTGTTGGGTGATAGGTTGTTGGTTGGTTCGTTCCCAGAGTTCCTTGTTGCTTATTCTTATTATTCTGACCATCTGATCATCAGTATCGAGTGAGCGTAGGTAGCAGTTGTTGATGAATGTGTGTAGTTTGTTGGAAATGCTTTTCGTGACACGCCAAGTTTCTGAACCATACAGAAGCACTGACTTGACGTTAGTGTTAAAAATCCGGATATTGTTCACGCTTTATGCTGAGTGTAGAAGATCTCCACACTGGTTTCAGATTAAAGGAAGGCGTGTCTTACTGTCTTTTTAATCCTGGCTTTGTTATCCTCGTCTGTGCCGCCTGTAGTTGAAACGATGCTACCTTGAGTAGATATGTGTAGGTGAAAGAGACTACTTCCAATACGTTTCTTCTGTTAATGGTAATTGGTGCTTGTCGTTGATGCTGTTGTTGGTTGGGTATCTTCATCACCTCTGTCTTTTCTACATCCACTTGAAGTCCCGTTTTCACTACCCTGCCTCTTCTGTCAACTTGTTAGTTTTCCCCTGTGGATCTTCGAGTTTGTGCAACACTGGACATAAATCATCATCGTTGGCGAAATCCAAATCCTCGAGGCTCTTTTCATCGATCCAGTCAGCCGCTCTTCTCACTCCTGATTGTTTGCTGCATGATCCAGTCCAATCGACCACAATCAGGAAGATAGTCGGTGATAGTAGACAACCTTGTCTTACCTGTCTACCTGTCTTCACTTAAAACGAATCACTGAGCTGAGCTTTCCATTGTGAATCACTTGGCATGTGGCGTCTTCATATAACTATTGAATGAGGTTGATAAAGACTAGTGGCACTCCATAGTGTTGAAGCAGTTACCAAATTACTTCTCGGTTGACGCCTCAATCGAAGGCCTTTTCAAAGTAGATGAATTTGAGGTAGAGAGAGAGAGTTGACTGTCATTCTATACTCTGTTCTATGATGATATGTAGCGTTGCAATTTGATCCGCACATGATTTGTTCTTCAAATTGTTCATTCCATCACACTTCTTTGTTTACTTTAACATCACTCCTTTTCTATCCACCTGTTCTTTCTATACTACCATAAGATGTGGTGACTTGAGTAAGATACACTAGTGTGCGTCTTGTACATCTCATTTTAAATGCTTAGTATGCTGCTGATATCTTGTCGGCGTCAAATCAACAGATCCTTCAGTTATTCATAGTCAGAATATTTCGTGAAATATTTTTATAACTGACATCACCTATAGTTCCTGTGAGAAGTATGGCTCTATGTTTTCTTTCTTCTGGTTACCAACGGTGAGTATTACTCTGTTATACGGAGGATCAATATTCTGCAGAAAGCAGTTACTTTCACATAATAAAACTGTCCAGTGTTATACTACTTAATGAAATGACCTACTGTATACAGATCCCTAACTTTAATCAATAGTGATCACTACATCAGATTTAAGTGAGGTGATAATTTAAGATGAAGCTTATTACCTTGATTAGTTCATTTGATGAAGGGTTAAATCAAATAAAACACTGAAATTCTGTTAAGCTACTACAGTCAAGTAAATTGTTACATAGAATCAAGTCAGGTCTCTTCAATATGCACAACTCAAGTTAAAACGTCAGAATATACAATGGATGAAACACTAATGTAGGAAATTCAACGTACCAGCATAATTTAGTTGACAATGTGAAGCTACATTAAAAATTTGACACCTATCTATGTCATATTTACTTCAAGTTGTGTATATTTCCAACAGCTGTATCAAATATGATCCTCTGAATTATATGTATATATATATATATGTATATACATGTATATATATATATATATATATATATATATATATATATATGCATTATTGCTATTTTGACTACTGTTTTACGTGTTACATAGTGGTGATATAGTAACGTAGAGATAGTTGCATATTCTTAAGAAATTCTTATTCATTTAAAGCGACTAAATTATTTACAATAAAATGCTAATGAAGGAAGTATTATTCAGTGACGGCATCGTTGACTGCAACATTGAATGATGTGGATTCGAAGTTCATAGGAGGATATCATTTCCCTTGAGGTTGGAGATAAGTACCAAGAAGCATGTAACTTAGGTCAACTTCTTTTTTGCCGATTGCCTCGAAACAAACGAAATACACTTAGCAGTGTTGTGTAGGCAATAACGGCTAATGACACTATGTAAGTGGTGTCAAACTTCAGTAATTGGGGGATTGTGCTTGAACTTGTGACCTACTGGTTGAAAGTCAACTTCTTAAACCAATGAGCATCAGTTTCTATTACCTCCAACCAAGTAGCGAATCTATGCACATGATCTGAATGAAATTGCGTATATAGTTTTCCTAGTCTTGATTAATTAAAAGTCAGTGAATAATGTGGTTGGTTAGAAACTACTCAAGCTGATCTATGGTATTTCGCCAGCTAGATCAGAGTGAGAAAAGTCAAAGTGAACCGTACAATTTATAAATCCTATTGTAGGTGGATTTATCCATCGAGGTCAGCTTGACAGATTTAGGTAATGTGAACTAATTCATCTGTGTTAGCTGAATATATCCTGGCACACCAGTGATAAGCTAGCTCAACTTCAAACCAGCAAAGTCATTTCGATCTGGTTGATGAAATTCTACCGATCAATGTAAGTAGTTCTTGACTACTCAAGTTGTTTATTATTATTATTAGTCCCTTGGGTTCCTAGTGGAACATAGGGCTTCAGTAGTACGTCTCCAGTGACCTCTGTTCTCTGAGATCTTTTGAACCTGGTTCCACGACAGCCCAGAAGCTCTCATTTCCTCCTCGCACGATCTCCTCCATGTCACCCTCGGACGTCCAACTCGTCACTTCCCATGGGGATTCCACTCGAGTAACTGGCCTGACGCGTGATGTCCCCAATCGGCCTTCTCATTGTATGCTCAATCCATCTCCATTTCCTTCTGCATATTTGTTGGGTGATAGATTCTTGGTTGGTTCGTTCCCAGAGCTAGTTGTTTATTAGTAGTATTTTTCTCTAGTTCATAATACTTGTGTCTTAACTGAATGATTTTCAGCCAGCTATGGATATCTGACTAGCAGTTGAATATAACTCATTCAGCTATCAGGAATGTTAATCCTAGATTGATATCTCAGTATATTTTACAATACTTTTTTATATTTTGTTATATATAATACAGATAAACGGTTTTCCAACACGTCATTGGGGTTGGGGTAGTGAAGATGATGAATTTTCAGCACGTGGTCTAATATTCAATTTAAAATTAACTCGACCACCTGGTTATATTGGTCGATATAAAGCACCAAGACATAAAAAAGGTTCAATATCTTTTGGACATCAAAATTCATTTTTACAATTTCGTAATTATCTTCATGATGGTTTAACAATATTAACAAATAGTTTTTATTATAATAAATGGAAATTACAATCATTACAATATCAAGCATATAATAAATTTATAATGAATAAATCAGAAAAATTTAAAATTCCCACCTTTTTAAATGAATGTACGCGCCAAAATATTTTATATCATTTAAACATTGATATGAATTCTATTGAAATTGTAAATAATTTTAATGAAATCTCTTCGTATAATATTGAATTATTGAATTATTTTGCTCGTCAAGATCTTTATATTCATTTCATATTTGATCCTATAGAATTTTATAATCAGAGTAATTTATTATTACAACCAAAAGGTGATTATTTAAAAGAATCTATATGGTGGTTTCTTCATTTCTATGGATGGATATAAAGCGCACTTGTTCAAGAGAAAGGGAAGATTACCTTTTTGTATAAGAATTTCATGAGTATTTTACTGTTTTTTTTTTCTATCGGTGCCAGGTAGCTTTCTATATCTGGTTTTTTTTTCTTTTTTTTGGTGACTATTTTTAAAAATGTATATTTTCCAAGTTATACTTAATAGTAAAATGATAGAGAAAATGTTGTGGTGGAATGTGTCGACCTCTTCAACTCACTTACGTGGAGAGTTGTATCATCTTGCTGGTTGTTGATAAGATCTTAGAACCGTTTAACATTTGGTAACTTAGTATAATTGATTGGACCGAATCGATCGGTCTCTATTGGCATATGGGATCCTGTGTGGATGCCTCAATGTTGCCAGTGTTCTAATTATGTTAATGATGGATCATGGCTAGCAGTGGAATCCAGGATGAGTATTTCTTCCTACTTGGGACTCACTAGTCAGCTGGATGTACATGCTGGCTCCCAGTGAGTGATGTTGTTGCGCATCGGGATTCGGACTGGGGAGCGATCGATTCAAGAAAAAGACTATACCTGTCACACAAGAAGTGGCTATCGTGGCTCGGTGGTGTAGTGGATAACGTGCTGGTGTTTGAAGCGATCGCTGCCGAGTCGGAATCCCGGTGGGAACAACATCACTCACTGGGAGCCGGTAGGTACCTCCAGCTGACTGGTGAGTCCCAAACAGGACGGAATATGCATCGCGGATTCCACTGCTAGCCACGATCCATCATTTGGTAACTTATGTCATCTGTGGCGCTGACTGGCGAGATATCCGACTGTCTATCAAAGGATAAGTATACTGTGCTACAGTCCGTTTTGTCCTGTTATCAAACTGTGAGGCATGGTCGTTGAAAATAGGAGATATGAAGCGGTTGCAAGTGTTTTTATAGCATTGCTCACGTTTGGTGGAACCACAGTGTGAGCAGTAGTAGGCGGGGAAAGCAAGTCAGTCGATTAGGCTGTGGAACCTTTATGTCTATGTGCTGCTTGACTGAATAACACTAAAACTATACCGATTGCACAAGAAGTGGCTCGTTGGTGAAGTGGGTAACACGTTTGGAGCGATTGCTTCTGAGTTCGAATCCCTGTGGGAACACCATCACTGGGAGGCAGGTACATCCAGCTGACTGATGAGTCCCAAATATGACAAAATGCATATCATGGATTTCACTGCTAGCCACTATCCATCATTAATACCATATAGTTAAGAACACAGGCAATATCAAGGCATCCTCACAGGAGCCCATGTGTTGACAGAGACTGGTCAATTCTGTCCAGTCAACGACGGTGTAATACAGGCAGTGACATTAGGCATAAATAGATGGTGCTTTCTCACGTGGCGTCCATCGATATTGAATCAACGATGAATACAGATATATCACATTGCTATGAGACATCGTTGGAAAGGATCGGTGGAGGATTGCCACTCTTTCTGAAGTATCCGTTTGAACTCTTACCAAGTGTTGACAGAGGTTCATATATGTCTGTGCGTAGGTGGTCGCAGGAAACAAGCGATAGTAAAGACTGTCTATGATGCTTTGGAAGATGAGAACATCAAATTCGAATTTTGGGGAAGAGGTAGCTTAGCATTTATCTGCATATGACGGCAATGCTCATCCTAAGGAAATTTGGCGTGACATTAAGTCTGCTGTAGAAACAGCGTTAGATGCAGTTGGCAACTTGTTTCCAAAGGGTAATGAAATCCAGCGGATTTCCTCAGCGTTATCCGAGCATATTGATGCGAGAACACTGATTACGACAGGCTTTCACCACGATGAAGACCAAAGGCAAATTAAACGTAAAATGACCAACAGTCTTTGCAATGATCGAGTGAGCGAGAGAGTTCGATAAGGTATCAGCAGTAGGTATTATTCTGCAAATACTTAGGCGTATAAAGGATACTGGCAAGATGAAATCGATGTTGAATGAAATCTTTACCGAAAAGGATGGGATCCCGATAACTTCTCAGGATAGACTGCTAGAACGTTGATCATAACATTTTGAACTACACTTCAGCTGGCCCACATCAAAGCTTGAATTACCCAGCACTCTGCTTGAACCTGAATGAGGTGTAGATGACAGTCCTCTAACTCCCGCCGAAGTTGAGAAATCTTTTTTTATCCTGAAACGATGTAAAGCCACTAGAACTGGCAATTCACCGCCCACAGTTTTAAAGAATGAAGGGGAGAAATTGCTAATTAAAGTGACGAAGATACTAGATAGTGTATGAGAATTAGTGGAAGATCCGTCAGATTGATCTACTTATCTAACCATCCCAAACTATAAGAAGGGGAAGAAATCTTCTTATGATAACGATAGGTGAATTATTTTGACCAGTATTGTGTCCATGATCCTAGACTCTAGTTATCCGACGCTTAACTGGAGCTAGAGAAACCATAGTGGTTTCAGACCTCGACAAGTGTCCATCGAACAGCTTTTCACCCTTCGACAGATCCTGAAACACAAGAAAATCTACCGGTGAAAGACACCTTGCATATTTCTCGTGTGGTGTTGTAACAGTGTCTGGCTGTAAAGGGAGTACCGAGCAAGCATATAACGCTAATTAAGGTTGTCTACTGGAACTGATGCAGCCGTGTAAGGGCTTATGGAAGGTTATCACCTGACTTCACGGCATCCAGTGGTGTGCAGCGCAGGTGACCGCTGTTACCAGTCCTACTCATCTTTGTTATGGAAGTACTAATGGACTTAACCTTAGGTACGTCTGATTTTACAGGTATTAATCCATGGAGGGTGACTGGGTTGACTTGGAATAATGTGGGGTCTTACAGATAACAGGAATCAGCAGCTCAGGACCCTTGGTAAAATGGCTGGATACCTGAGATCATGGAATACAGTAGTGAAAAGTCATTGATTATGTAAGAGACGTATGCGTTACTTATCTTATTCTAGATTTCATATACTAGTGGGTGTTAACAGTTGAGGAGTCCCATGCTACGACGAAACAGCTATTCAGTGCTCCCAGGTTTTCAATGGTTCTTCAACGAGTATCAGTCTTTGACGAATACTACATTAAGAATAAAATCCCCATTAACCTCAAAACGCAAGTGAATATTTGACATGATTTGACTGTTTCGAGTCAAAGGCGAAGTTCGAAAATCTCAGTACTCCAGCAGACTCAAGGAATTTAAAGAACAGTGAAGTAATTCGAAATGAGGGTTTCTATTGGACACATTCCATAATCAAAAGGAATGGAGTCAAGAAGAATGGGAAGAGTTACGTAGCAAAGTCATATATTGGAAAGTTAAGAATGAATCAGTAAGTGGAAATCATAAGTGAAATAGGAAAAAGATTAAATGGAGACTGTGACAAAGTTAAAGGACATTTACCATGGTACTAAAAAGTTGGTCATATTATCTTTCTATGCATAGAGGTCAGGTCTACTGAACTTGTTGGTTAGTCACACACGCCGGACTGAGGAAGAACACTAATTCTGCTTGTCATTGGCTTGGACATATACTGCGCATACCAAGTCACCATTTGCTTCGACGTACAATGCTAGAAGTTAGATTGGGGTAGGTGAGGGTTCAGTGTGGCCAGACCAAGAATCGGCACTAGGTCATGAAGTTCCTGACTGTTGGTCAGGGTTTTGTTGGAAATGTAGACTATCTGACTGGGATACTAGAGATAACAGGAATCAGTGATTGAGGACTGTTGGTGACATGTCTGTGCTATATACTCTTAGTTTTACATGGCTTTTGCCTGATATTTCGGCCATGGCCTTAAAATAACCTACTTTGCAGTTTTCACACCGTTACTAGTTTGTCTTTGTGTTCTCAAGGCTGAACCTTCATTGGTTGTTAACTCTTCTTACCCATATGTGAATTTAGTGTTGTCAAGGCCATAGTCTGCTAGGATGGTATCGTTCGTAGACTGTTAAGTGGTAGTACCAGTCATGCAGCCTGAAAATGAGTCATATTGGTGTACATGTATTCACCCTTTAATTTCTGAATGTCTTGACTAATTTTAGTTTCTAAATTCCCTGTCTCTCCCACAAACATTTGTGTACTTTGATATCAGTCATTCCTATCCACCTGTACCTTGGATACGCGACAACTTGGACTGATGCACTTGTGTGACAGGTTCTACGTTGATTTCTTCTGTCTGACTGTTTATCGTGTATTTTCGGGTTGATGCTTAAGTTAAGTACGACTACTTTAAGTATCGATATAATTTACTTGGTTGTAGGTAGCGGAGAATCCAGGAAGCGCGTTTCGTCCTATTTGGGACTCATCAGTCAGTTGGATGTACCTGCACCTCAGTGAGTGATGTTAATCCCAATAAGAGTCGAACCCCATACCCATCGCTTCAGATACCAAAACATTATGCACTGGGTCATTGCACTGAGATACGACAACTACGTCTTGTACAACGGGTATTAGTTATTACCATTTGTTGATATGCTTGTAATTCTCTGTTGTGGCCGAGCAATTTGATGCAATAAAACAACGAAGAATTATAAGCAAATCAACAAAAGTAATACAAACTATGCTTTTAAATAGTTTTTGAATGTCTTCAACCATCTAGCACTTTATTAAAATTTTGGTAACAATACAATCACAGAAGATCTATACCACATAACTGTTTTTATTGATATACAGCCAGTAGACACTGATACAGTTCCTTGAATCATTTATTCCAGACAGTATTTTTGCATTTATTCAGCTTCAAGACAGACCAGTGTATGTTAGATGATGGACCGTAAGTCTATTCCACTTCTCTTTTGAAAAGAAATGCTGTACTTGCGTCTTAAATTCATAGTTGGTCCAGCTACTGAAATCCCACCTAGAAGGATTTCAAATTCTCAATAAAGAAAATTCTATGCAATGAAATTAATCGTTTTCTAGAGTCACCCTTTAATCTCCCCCGTTATGATAGATAAGATGTCGCTTGTGTGTACATATCATATCACCTGTTTCTCTGCAGCTAGATATATTGGTTATATATATTGTTTAGTGCGAATCCTGTTCAGAAGAATTGAAGAACACAACCGTAAATGTTTACCAGCTAAGGTTAGCAATCCCATCTCATTAACACTGATCTCAGTATCTTGACAATCTTCTCATGCAAAGTGGTGTATGAAAAAAAACTTGTAAAATGAGGTATGTGTTTCTCTTCCTTGTATTGGTGAGGCTTAAGGTATTGGAATCCATGATTCAGAGTTTCATAT